GGATCGGATGTTCAGAGGGTCGGTCGTATTATATCGTCAACTAAAGCGGGTAGGGGTAATGCAATGCAATAAGGAGCTGGAAAGTGATCTACGCGAGGTTGAAACTTCGGCTGTGCAAAACTCAGGCTTGTAAGGGAAGTTGGTGGAGGTTTTGGGAGTTTTGTCTGATTCTCATGTTCGCCTTTAACATGAATGATCTATGTGTTAAAAACGATGTGAAAAAATATTCAAGCACTACAAACCTTTGTATTTGATTAAAAATTTGCCAACGGGTCTTGCGAGTAGAGCACTGCAGTGATGCCATGTTGCCAATTTCAAGGTGAGATGGCTACTTTGGTATTTCCAATTGGAATCAATCCAGGTGGCTGTGACACCAATGAAAGCCAAATGATTTCCCTTCGTGGTCCATCCATCGTGTACAAGGCATGTCTTGCTCTTGTTATCCTGTAGTTTACAAACTCAAACTATGATTAGTTTTTCGGACCACTACAAATAGAAGAATATGATAGAAATTGTGATGTGTACCTTTATTTTGCTTATCAACTGTTCATATAAAGAAGAGTACAGTTCCCTTGCAGTAGCAGCTGCCCAAGTCGGGCTTCTTAAATTGGCTTTGGCGTGTGTGAGGTGGAAAGCAGCTTGGAGGGTCGGGTCTTGAAATCGTACCCATGGAAGGGTGTGGCGCAGGACCCAGATGACCAAGAGAACGTTCAAGATATCTACACTGAAAGGTGGTCGAGTCATGAATGAGTTCATGATCAAAGCAGATGAGTCCTGGGTGTCAGAGGCCTTGTTTGACTTTGTTCGGTCTTGGTAGGTTGGAGGATGGCCATGATCTTTCTCCTTCATGGAGTTGGAGCGTCCGGGACATGGGATTTGGTTTTTTCCGCCGTCTCGATGGCCATACAGATTGCTATTGCCATTGATACCACGCTTGAAGGTTTCAGGACACCATTTGCACACGTATCCACAAAGGACATCTTTTGGCTGTAATTAAAAGAGTCAGTGCATATTGTGGTGGTGAATCATTGGATCACTTTCTGATTTGAAATACTCACAGCATCGTCCAAATGTACTGGATCTGGTTGAAAATAGGACAATAGATGAGTAACCGCGCTGCTTTGAGTTTTCTTAAAGGGCTTTGTTGGTGGTTTTGGGCTTTCTTGGTCCAGATCGATATCCTTCGGTACGGTATAGTCCTGAAAAGACATAATTCAAAACCATAAGGACAGTTGATGAAAACAAAAGAAATGGATACACTACAAGAAAGATAATATTTTCTGGGCAGAAAATTAAATTATTGATACACAAAAATATTGAGAGGCCAGGAGGAGAGCAAAAAATGAATAAAAATATGGATCTTGTTCCCTGCGTTGAGAACTTCACTCTGCATATTTTCCATATTTTTACAGTCCATATTGATAAGTGTACTAACAATAAACCTTCACAATCATCCAATTACAACCTGTAACAAGCACTGAAATTTGGCTAATCAGTGTTTAAAGAAACTTTTGATTTCTGAAAATACTCATAACTTTTTCAATTCCGGTCCAAAACGCTTGATTTTGGGTGCATTGGTAAGCTGGAATTGTCCTCCAAATAGTTCATAATAGGACCACACAGCATGCTGGTCTGCTAAAAAAGATATCATCTTTTTTATACATTTGTACATACAGATCCATAGAATGATTGTCATACTAGCTACATAGTTCTTGATCTTATGAAAGTTCGAGAGGAAGAGTTCAGCTTTCTAATGCACTTAAAAACGAGTGTTTGGAGGCAGATTTGACAAAGTTATAGGTGTTTTCAGAAATCAAAAGTTTCTCTAAACACTAATGAGCCAAATTTCAGTGCTTGTTACAGGTTGTAATTGGATGATTATGAAGGTTTATTGTTAGTACACTTATCAATACGGACTGTAAAAATATGGAAAAATATGGAGAGTGAAGCTCTCACCCCAGGGAACAAGATGCATATTTTTATTTATTTTTTGCCCTTCTCCTGGCCTCTCAATATTTTTGTGTATCAATAATTTAATTTTCTGCCCAGAAAATATTATATTTCGTGTAGTGATACTTACTGTAGCAGTTGCCCGAGTAGTGGTACTTTGCCTGCCTTTGCTCTTCCGAGCCTTTTTCGGTTGTTGACGTTGAAGGTTGCCTTTTGCAGTACGCTTCTTTGGTTTAGAAGCGATAGATTGGGTGGGAGTATGAGACTCAGAGTCTCCAGCTCCAGATAGATCCACAACTTTGTTTAGATCCTTGGCCTCGGCAGTGATTTCTGTTGGATTGGATTCTTCGTTGTCAGAGGATGAAGGTTTGTCATTGGTTTCATCATTGTCTTCAGGTGCATATAATGATCGACGTGAGTCTCCTGAAATTGGCACATAATTGGAATCAATACAAGCAGGGCTATTGCAAGTAGAGCGTTGAGAAGTGCTGGGACTAGGTGAATGGGAAGCTTGCAAACTAATACGGTCATGTTTAGGAGCAGATAAGAAATTGGCCATCAATTCCACCTCCTGTGATGTCGCGTGCACTCTGGGCATAAAAGGATAAAGGGAAAGATTGGGATAAGAGAAAATAAAAAGTGTAAAAGGGAAAGGGTGAAAAGAAATGAAGGGAAGATGAAAAATGTAGGTCATCTTATCCCTTGCTTGAAGTTGTCTCCTTGATCGGTAATGACGTCCAATCTTCTTTGGGAATCTGAAATCTATTAGTATCATATTTGTGTGAAACCACTTGCCGATTTGGGAATTGGTGGATGAGCCAATTGGGAACCAAAGTGACTGATGTGGACTCCGGCCTACGGTCTGTATAACCTGGAATGCTGTGACAGCGGTACGGTTATACAGACCTATTACTCCATCATTATCACACTACGGTGCGGTCTGACCGTTTCTGGCCATACTGCAGGCTACGGTACTTGAAACCGTACGGTACCGCATCCCGTTTTTCCCTACGGTACGATTTGTGCGTTGCTTCAGCCCTACCTGTTCTTTCTCGAATATCTGCATGTTTACAAGGGTTATTTGTCAGCCGCTGTCATAATGAGTCAACGGAATCTAAACCTGACCTGGTTGTGTCCGAGTCCCTCTAACGGGTTGATGCATAGTATAATTGGGTGAAAGTTGGGATTGTGAGCATGATATATAATTTGGGCACACAGCTTTTGCCGAAACCGGTCCCCGCCAATAAAAAGGCGGTAAGGCCATTGAGCAGGTGAACAACCATATTGCACTGCTGAGGCCGTGCAGAGTATCCATAATGTGTTTGACATAATTGGTCAACGGTGTTGCCTGTTGTGCTGGTGTCACTGGTGTTCACAAACTGGGGAATGAGTTTGGTGTGAGCGGTGACCAAATCAGATGACAGAGGTCCTTGGCGCGGAGGTATGGGTGGAAATAGGATGTTGCTTGTGGCTGATTTGCTCCTGGTGAGCATTATTGTTTGTATTGAAAGGAGATCAAGTGGTGCAACAAGGTTATAAAATTGTGTACTTGGCAATATGACACGCTGGACAAAGCAAACAGCAGTTTGCCCAAAACTACACTAGCGTTTTCAACATATATTTGGAGTTTTGAGCGCGAGTTGCCGGTTTTAGGCGCCGCAGTTGTGTTTGACCCCAAACACAAAAATAGAAATATCTTTTTGCTGAGATGAGGTTGTGAGAAGCCGAGAGTGGCAAATGATCAATGTGGAGTATCCACATCATCTTCATTATACTTGTGCCAAGCATTGATTTGTGATTTTAGCAAGCAGGGAGGATGGGAGATTTTGTCAAAAATCCCCAACAGAACTCACGCCAAAATCTGGACATTGGGTGTAAGTCCCTTGCTGGAGTTGGTGCTTAGGTCAGGCAGGGGACTCAGTTAAATTTGGCTCCTTTGGCTTTGCTCTGAAAAAGCTCAGGGGCTGACATCTTGTTACACATTGTACGTTCTCTTCTGCTCTTCCTAATCTTTCTAGTAATTGATGCTCCATTTCCCTTCTGATGAATCAAAAATTGAAACAATGATTTCTTTGATTTCTGCACAAATAAAAAACTTAAAAAAAATGAGTTTGTTTATAGAAACAAACTTCAGCTAATGAGATTGGGTTGAGGTCTGAAGGTCAAGGTGTGAGATCTAAGCTATCTCTGCTTTGATCTCCAAGGGCTTGTATACTTCTGATTCTCTCCCTTGGTCATTTACCCGCCTCCTCAGCCCCGCTAAGTCCCCATGGGCTTGGAACCCAACTTGTGCCTTGTTGGTTCATTCAAGGAAAAATTGATTTTTGCAGAGATCACCTTTTCCAACCATTAATATCCGCAAACGGGTCTTCACAAACTTCTACATTCTTGTTTGATATTTAAAGGAAGAACAAACCATTGCATTTTGCCCACTAGAAATCAAACCACAGCCTCACTGAGCAAGGGATGGTAGTGTTAAGAGACAGACAGACTTTATGTTTAAGCACATTGGACAATATCATGCTGACCAAAAACCACTTAACTTCGCAGCAGCTACATAACAAAGCTACATCTTACAACTGCCTTCAAGACAAATTTTGAAAACAAATCTAAAGGCTGAGGGGATTACTTTCCTTGGGGGGAAAAACATGTACAAGTGAGGCCGGAAAAGATACGACACCAGTTCACTCCACCCAGTACACCAGTCGGGGCCGGCGGAGTAAACTGGTGTTGTATCTTGTCCGGCCTCACTTGTACAAGGTGCGCAAGAGGAGTACACACAACTTTTCTCTTTGGACCATGTGGTAATCCTCAGTAGGGAGCTGTGTAGAAGGATTGAAAAGATGCTCCTGCAAAAATTCTTACAGTGACCAATGACTTTGGGCGAGTTTGGCATAAGTCCCTTGCTCGCTTCAGCCTTGCGAGGCAAGCGTGGGAGTTTGCAGGCTCAGGACTGCAACCTGAGTCAAGGGGAAGTGCTCTCCCATCCCTAGTTCTTGGTGTGCTAGATACCTCCCTGTGCCCTTGCCAGGCGCCCCCCCAAGAAACCTAAAGTGTTCATAAAACAGATACTTTAGGTTTGACTAGGACAAACCAAGTAAGTATGATCTGTACACTACAGCTATATACATGTTATGTGAAATGAATACTAAGCAAAAACAATGGGTCTTGAATGAAAAGCTCGCCTCTCCTGAGACACTGTTGAGTAAGGAGTGGACAGAGAAGATAAATCCATGGTTCTATGGTAAAAAGTCCAAAAAGCTGAAATTCCTATACCACACCAAATTGAGACAGCAAATTTAACAAGCTTTAACTACAAAATTTTATACAAAAAAACTTCAAACCAATGCCTTAAAATGTATGAAAGTTTTATATATAGGTTAGAGTCTAGAAAGAAAGATTCAAAAGATATAACAGAAGACTAATAGAAACACATAGACAAGAAAATTCACTTATGTTTCCAACACTTACTGCTAGCAAAAATATCAAATGTTAAACTGCAATTTGAATCCCAACAAATTAAAACAACTCTTCTTACAAACCAAGTCAAATGAAATCATAATGTCCATAATGTCCTTACTCATGTTAAATGAATGATCAAAAGGTATCAAGCGTTGAGCCACTTCGGTATAGCTTTAGAGTTTGGAAAAAGTACATGATCACCAAGCCATCTTGGCAATAGGACCACGAGGGTATCTTCTAACAAAGTATTTTCGAACTTCATCGCACATGAGAATTCCAACTGCAAATGCCACTGAGATTTGGTTATTCCAAAAAATAAGCGATAGAATATGATGAGTCAAGTATTGAATACATCCCCAGAAGTAAAGAAAAGTGTCTTACAGGGCATGAGATAATTCTCGAACGCTACGCCCCGAGTGAACATTACCTTCTGGAACCATGACACATATGAGAAGAAAATGGTAACGAGTAGTGCAAATATCATTGCTGGGAAAAGGTAGTAATTGTTGGTTGCTTTCTTGAAAATTGGCGATTGGTGGAAGATAGAAAGACGTCTAGTTCTTGTGGCGAGTAAATTTCCTAGAAGATGGTGCGGATCTCATCGTCAGTTTCTAAAACGTTTTCCTGTATAAATAAAATTGAAAAACTCACCCCATTGCATGAATACTAAGCAGAAAAAGTAAATACTTTGGCACCTATAAGTTGCCTCGTTCAATCGGTCTGTAGATACCCCTTTGACTTCACCGCTTGAAAATGCAAATTGAAAATGTAAGGATGCTCAGTTTCCAAATGGCAAGACGCAAGTCCATTTGGTAAATTTAAGCTCACTATGATAGCCAGATAGCAGAGAACGGTATACCATGTCTCACAAACCCGAAGTAAAATGCTGTAGCCTGGTAAACAAGGTGGAAATTGATATCAATGACTTATCCAAATCATTGTGACTTTGAGGACTGAGAGGGTATTGGTATAAAGCTTACCATTGCGCAAAGAGTTTCTAAAAGACCGATGAAGAAATAAGCATGGAACAAAAGTTGCCAGTTCACCAATCTTTCTTTCTTGCGATCTCTGGGCTTTCTCAAGAGGAGATCAGATTCAGGTTTTTCGTAAATTAAAGATAATGCAGGTAATACATCGGTTCCGACGCCTATAATTGTCAATCCAATATAAATGATGAAATGAGATACACGATGACTTTTTGTGAAAAGAGTGCTAAACTTACAAATGATAATCATCTGGAAAGAGCTTAGTGCTTGTGGAAGTCCGAATAACACATTGAGGAGGATGGGCATGAGTTCACTGAAACTTCCAGCCGGGACTACGAGAGGAAAAAATTCAGCAAGTGAAGCAAATTGTTTTCTGAGCGATCATGATTGTCTTACGTAGATAGAGACAAACTTTCTTCAAGTTTTCGAAACACATACGTCCGTACTCGATGGCTGTGACTATAGCACTGAAGTCTACAAAGTAGACAAAGATGATAAATTAGCCTCGACATGAGCTTTGGACTGTGATTCGATGTTTGTTGCTTACCTTCTAAAAGTACAAGATCTGCGGCCTGTATTTGGAAGATTCTGGTTAGTCTGCGCGGATAGAATTGAGCTAGGGAATAAAATTGACTAACCTCCATAGCTACTTCACTTCCACCACCCATAGCAATTCCAATATCAGCAGCCTTAAGTGCAGGGGCATCATTCACTTTCAAAACCAAATCCGTAACAGATAAATATCAGCTGTTTGAAATCACGTGTCCAGCTTTGATAAAACCAACGAACCTCCATCACCAGTGACCGCAACAGTATGACTAAGATAGAAAGACGTAAGTATGATATGCAAGTGAGATTCAATTCCTTAGAGAATTGTGATACATACCCAGCGTCCTGGAATCGTTTAGTGATCTGTAACTTCTGCTGGGGACTAGTTCGAGCGAAAACGATCTCACGATAGCATAATGTTTGTTTCCATTGAGAATCGGTCATTTGAAACAAATCAGATCCAGTCAAGACTACTGCATGTGGCATATTTCCTTCAGGATCTTCTGCCGAGTAACTAGGAATGGTATCTAGGTCTTGATTTCTTGGAAGGTCTACTAAGAAATGAGGATTGTCCGTCGTGATAACACCCACTTTCTTTCCAATAGCAGCACTGATAGGGTGTGTGGCAAATAAGCGGAATGACTCGAATGCGGTGAATTATAATCTTACTCACGCAGTAAGGGCAAAGTCTCCGGTGACGATGAAGAAGCGCATTCCTGCTCGACGACATATTCTCACCTTCAGAAGTAAAATTGGAAAGACAGTCAGCGAAGAGAGGACTAATGATGGATTGATACAATCACTTACCGTCTCAGCTGTGTCATGTTTCGGAGGATCAGTCAAAGCCAATAATCCAACGATAGTCAAGTCAGAAACCAAGCCACTGAGATATCCTGCGTCATTGATCAAATCCATGTCCAGAGAGTCAAGTGGGATGACTTTTCGAGAAAGGAGAAGGACCCTTTCTCCCTGTGAAGCAAATCGCTCTTGAGCTTTGATCAAGCTGCGGGTAAGATGTTCAGTTAGCTCTACTTCAATCCCGTCAGAATCGACAAGTGAAGAGCATTTTGGAAGCAAAACATCGGGTGCCTAAATTGAAATGTTGATGATAAGTCAAGAGCTTTCCAAGAAAATCTGACTGTTTGATGAGATTATAAATACCCCTTTGACAAAGATCACCATAGAATTTGCACACGATGCAACCGAGGTTATAACTCCACCAGGATAAGAATCTCTGGCTTCCGCTTTCATGAGTTTCATAGCAAATTTGTTCTCTGTTCAAAGAAGCCAAACTTTAGTCAATGTCAAATCATTACATTGTATGTCATATCAGAATTGATGTACTTGAGTTGAAGGCAATCTTGGAGATTTCCTTCCAGCTTTCTCTTGATTTAGAGACGGATTGGATAGACTGAGAGAATTTCAAAAGTCCAGAATCTAAATGAAGATTTAAGTTAAAGATCTAAGGTTAGTTTTAAAAGCTTGAAAAGGCTGAGTGGAAAATAAAGCAAATACCGGTTGCATCTCCATTCACTTTAGTGGTCTCGATGTCCATCTGATTGACTGGCTCTTCATCCTCAAACATCGCATCATTACAGATAGCCGCGATAGCTGCCAAATCTCTAAGACAAGCTAAATCTTTAAGAGCATGTGAAGAATTGGAGTCATCTCCCTTGATCTTGTCATCTGAGCGGATGGCTTCTTTGGCTACGCTAGCCGACATATACGTGGTTCCGAATGCAAGATTGGTCACTGTCATCTTTCCTGTAGTCAATGTTCCAGTCTTGTCACTCAGAAGCACACTACAAAGGATAAATCAGCTTGTGAGCGCAAAAAGATGGATAGAACTCAAACGAAACCTTACTCACTCGACAGCACCGAGCGTTTCGACAGTGGCGAGCGATTTACAAAGGACCTGGATCAACAAAAGTAGAAAAATCAAAATGTGTCCTTCTGTTGGGTATCTCGAGAGCTCCCACCTTCTTTTTTCTCATAGCGTTGGCAATTACTGTCAAGGACAAGGTGACACAAACCGGTAGACCCTATAGTAGATTACAGACATTAGGCCTCCACTAATTTTTGTGAAGTCGTAGATGACACATACCTCGGGGATGAATGCCACCATGACACTGACGACGTTAATCAGAAGCCCACTGACAGAAATGAAATTCGGGTGTTTTACTCTTAACCATGCAGCCCATAGGATAATGATGAAGGAAGCAACTACTATTGCCAAACTAGCGATAATGCTGTACAGAAGTAAAAGACATCAGAAACTAATGGCTACGAGGGTGAATGTCAATAAGATTGAACTTACGTGACAAAACGTAAAATCTCTGCTTCCAAAGTGGTTCTTCGACCAGAAGATTGACTACTCAATTTAGCAATCCGACCAAAGACAGTATTATCACCAGTCTGAACAACAATACCCATTCCACTTCCACTTGTACATAAAGTACCTAAGGATTGAAATGAATTCAGCGCTGATATTATACTTGCAAAAGATAGAGGAGCGTTGAACTAACCTTGTAGAGCAACATTCCGTGTTTCGAGGAAATTGCAATCGGTGGAATCAATAGTAGCAGCAATAGCATCAGATTCACCAGTGAGAATGGATCGATCGAATTTCAAATCACTAGAGATCTCAATCAATCTAAGATCCGCTGGAAGTTTGCATCCCAAAGTAACCTAAGAGGATGAACCGTAAGTTTTTAAGAATTTTTTATTTTGAGGATGAAGAGTTTTACTACTAACCTTAATCAAATCACCTGGAACCAATTCAGAAGCAGCAACAGTAGCTAGTTTTCCATCTCTTAGTACAAGAGCTTCGGCTCCTACTAAGTTTGAAATAGATGCCATGACTCGGGATGTCACATTGTCTTGCCAAGCATTGAAGATTGCTTGGATCACGATCACGAGTAAGAGAACGATGGCTAGTACTAAATTGGCAGATTGCGGCTGTGATAATTTTTAGATTAGCATCACATTGTCACATTGATCTGTGGAAAAGACTTACATCAGGTTCTCCAATCGGTTTCCTATTTATTAGTTTATTGCATTTTGATTGAATATGTATGATTTTTTCCCTAGTCAGTTTCTTGATACGTTACGGTACGAATGAGATTGAAACGATGAAAAAAATTGAGGAATACATACCAAGCCAAAAAACAAATTAAACTTGCAACAAATAAAAGTGAACCAAAACCACCAAAGATATAAAAGAAAATCTTCTTCGCCAAATTTTTGGGAGGAGGTGAGATCACATTAGGACCATATTGAGTCATTCTACGTGTTACTTGGTTTTGATCTAAACCATGTATGGTGGAAGTTGCTAATCTTGATAGTAAATCATCAACACTTATAGCATGGAATTCAAGGTTGGCCAAATCTAAACGTACATTCAAAAACCAATGGGCAAAAGATTAGAAATTGTTTTTAACATTGATGAAAATATCTATGGGGTTTACTGACCAGTTGCTTGTTTTCCCTCCATTTTAGAATCGGTCGCTTTAGATTTCTCCACATTTTCAACTTGAATACTCATAGTCTTATAAAGAGCAGGAAAAGTAGTTCCGGGAGAAGTTCTAGGTGGAGCAGTAGCAAGGCAGATACTGTTGGTACGTTCGATTCTAAGTTGACGATTAAGAGCATCCACACGAGGTGTTCGACTTGAGGTCGCGAAACCGATTTGTTTCTCCTCGTCTTCTACGGACTTTGAGGCGTGGCTAGCTCCGACGTTCACAGCATCCTTCAGGGAATCTTTTTCATCCATCTTGTTAGAAGTTTTTGAGAGATAAGAGTGGTGAAGACGGTGCAGGTAAGTTCAGACGCGATGTGAAAGTTGTTGTTATGAATCTGTTGGGTTATCAAGTATTATTTAACAAGGTAAGGAACTAAGTTGATGAAGAGGAGAGAGAACTTGTTGAGGAGGCAGAGATTGAAGAAGAGGAAAGACTGTCAAGATAATTATCAACTTTGATCTGGTCTTAATCCTGAATGAATTGCTATGAGAGCGAGAAGTCGAAAAAATGAAACGAAAAAAGGTCTTTGAAACTGTATATATATAAAATAATGGAAGCACGATCGAGTACGAAGAGGCCCAAGAGACAATTAGGAACACGAGCTGGCAGGACTTCAACCGCGACACGATCGAGATAGAAACAACTTGATGATTTCGAACAGAACAACTTGATGAAAAAAAATTATGCAACAACTGAGTGGAGGGGTGGTGATGCATTGCGAGTGATCTTAAGTGATAACATGTGAAATCGCCTTGAGGACTTTGACAAGGATCTCGAGGGTTCGTGATCAAATACGATGAGCTTGGCATGAGTGACCCTTTGAGCATTGTCCAAAGCCTTGACCATATAAAGTCTAGAATTCTTGTCGTGGCCAGGAGCTCCTGAACTTCCTAGAGTGGTCCAGATCAACTCTAAATTCTAAGAAGCCAAACCCTCTATATCGGATATCCTTTTTCGCGCCTATCAGTCCCAGCCTCTTCTTCCGGAGCCTCGCCTCTGGGGTCTACAGGCATACTTCGATACATTTGTTCTCGAAGCATGAATGTCACCGTTCAAAAACAGCCTCTCATAATCATCGCTCACTAATGCTATGAAGGTTAGAGGACGGACTCGAGTTATCAAAGTGACTCAGTCTCATCTGACCATGAAACTGTCTTTTTGAGCAACAAGTCTGATTTGTTAATGTACACATCTCAAGGACAACATTTCAAAGACAATATGTTGAATTTATGGCCTACAAATGATAATCCATAAATTCCAGAAGTTGTGTGTGAATGTACTTCGATTCGAAAGTGAAAGAAAAAACTCCTCACTTGGTCTATCATCTCAAGGCTTATAAGCAATAGAAGTTACATAATAAAACCAAATCAACCTATATTTCAAGCAAAAACAAAACCACTTTTTTTTCTATAATCAAACTTTTTTTTTCAATTGTTATCCTACTTTTCTAGAAAAAAACACACACAATCATTCAACAAATCCAACAAAAAAATAACAAAGAGACACCAGCTTTAGTAAGTTATGAATGAAGAAGAAAAAACAAAAGGAAACAAAGAATTAAGAAAAAAAAAAGATAACAAAAAGAACCGAAAAGATAAATGCAATATCACAACTGCTAAACAAAAAAAACTCAATATGTATTACAATTCCCAAATCCATTCATCGAACCATTTTTCCAAAAAAAACCCATTTACCTGTTTACCTCTTTTCCTCTTACACGAAAAAAAACAAAAATAACAAAATCAAAATCATCAACACAAAATCAAAGAAAAATCAAATGAGATTTTAATTTTTGAATGTTTTTTTTTTCGATTTCTATAACGATTGAGGAAATATCGAATTTGTCCAAATTTGTAAATCTTTCAAAGAATTCGTTTGAAAGAAATATGAATTATTAGAAGAATAAAGTGCAAAAACGTTTTTTCTCTATAAACCATCCCAAAGAAACAAAAAACAACAACAGATACCTGAGTAAATCTACTGTCAAAAAAGCAAGAAGAAAGAGGTGACTTACATCTAACATAGTTTCTAATTCTAAATTCGAATCCACATGAACATTCCCCAAGTTAATCACTCCTAATTCCCTAATTTCATCATTCTCTTCATATATATACAGATAAGGTCTTCTTAATACAACTATTTAACCATCAATCATCAAAAAAAGTAAGATTCATCAGTAAATTTTCATGACTAAACCCAAACCTCAATTCCAAAAAAAAACCAAGTGCGGATTTTTCACTTACACCAACGTTTGGCCCATTCATCACTAGTAGGATCTCTTAAAACAAACATATACCCTCTTTTCACAACATTATCACTATATTCGGCAGCAAAAACCCATCAAATCAGTTTCGTTTATTTCTTCCAAATCACAAAGGATAAAATCTACTTACGTTCGAGGTACTAAAAACACTTCAGCAGTCATCCTTTTATCTCGTTTCGATTTTAGTTGAATCGAATTCGATTTCATCTTTTCTAATGCGATAGGAGATAAAAGTTGTGATTCAGGTGATTGATCTGTACTCGTTGGTGATGATTTTGTACTCGTTAACCTTCCTGGTTCTTGTGCCAAGATCATCTAATCAAAATCAAAATCAAAGTCAAAATCAATCATGTAACGTTAAACAAGATTTTTAAAACATTCATATCATCAATTGTTATTCGGCTTACCTTCTGTTTGGGTCCAAATTGTTTTTGCCATAACTCCAAACTCTTACCAATCTTAAACAAATCCACATCATGTTGCAGCCCCAAAGGAGACTCAAACCCATTCCCCATTGCGATCCCATTCTCACCCCAAATAGATTGTTTTCCATTCCCAGGTGAAGTCACCAAAGAAGAAGTAACCGAATTATTATTTAAATAATTCAAAACGATTCTAATCGATCCAACAGCAATCTTCAATTCCATTAATTCTTTAAACTTCCAAAACTCTTGTAAAATTGAAATATCTCTAGGTTTCCAATTACCTAAACTTTCTTCACCATTAATAAATTGAAAACAAGTATTTAATCTCCAAATTTCTGAAACCTTTTTAATCAAGATTGGTGAAAGTTTTACCATAAATAAATAATTGGATCTATCTAAAATTTTCGTAAATCTTAAAAAGTTTAACATTGTTAAAGGTGGTCTTTGATCTCTTTCTTTGATGGTTAATCCTAAATCAATCTTAAATTCTATAGGGCTTTCACAATTTTCACTTTCGATTTTCCATTTTAATTCTACTAATACTCTTTGTTCATTTAATGTCACTCGATTTAAATAAGTTGAATCATGTGCTCCTGTATCCCAATTTCCAATATAAACAATTGATGAAGTTCCATCACTTTCAAATTTCGAAACAGGTTTATTGGAAGGTTTTAAACTAATCACTTTATTCACTTTAGGTCCATGTATCCTACCTTGTCCATCTAATAATCTTACATTACTTAATTCTACTGTTCCGATTTTGATCCAAGGAAACTGTCTTCCAGAATTATGTGACGCTTTGATCGCTAATTTTCGTTGAAGTCCTTGTCGTACAAAAAACGCTCCAGGATCAAGTGCATTTTGAGAAACGATTGGGGTAGGTAAATAATCTCCATTTGCAGAAAGTTCTAACATTTGAATCGAACTTGAAACATCATGATGTTGTTCAGAAACAAATTCAGTTTCAGGTTGTCTCATTAAACTTGAAGATGAACTAGTAAGTTCCATGAGTGACATTGGTGGAATAGGTGAATTGGGATCCGAATTCGAAATTCCAACATCAGAAGTCGGACTAGAGCGTTGAAGAGTTGGCTTGGTTTCGGTTAATTTCTTTTCATCAAACCTTTCTAGTTTTTCAAGATAACTCGGCATTAACTGTCCAAAGAACTCAATAGGCGCACATCGAGACGCCAAATGCTTCTTGACTTGTTCCGTGATGGTGATAGTAGTAGTCTGTTTTAGATGAAATTCATGATGATCGCATGGTAAATCAACAGCTGCTGAGCTAAAAATTTGTTCTTCGACTCCTGGTTTCAATGGACCACCAAGTGAAGAGATCCGAAGTTGACAGTGAACTGAAGAAAAGTCTCGAGACGTGAGGCCGCTGACATCATCCACGATGATTTCGAGTGTGATCTTACCTCCATCTACAAATGGACATAGACTCTCTTTAGCAGGCGTGAATGAAGACCCACCAGCAGAGTTGAGCAAGATGCCTGTCCGTGCAGGTGGAGCGATACCAATTACGCGAATGCGAACCCTACAAGTAGCTATCTGACTCAATGTATAAGGACTATAGATAGATAGAGTGGAGCTGATCGGAAGGTTTCGATACAGTGGACCGAGGGGAACGAACGCGTGTCCGATGAATGAATACGCAGGCGGGAAAGGATCGTAAAATGGGTCTTCCCAGTTAAAATGCTGCGAACTGAAAGGACCTGACATGAGTGAACATTCAGATCGATGTTAAGGGTTAACATGTTCACTTACAATGCTGGCTTATCAATAAAGTTGTACAAATTCCTCATCTGCTTCAGCCTCAGCTTCAATTTATCCATTGACCAAACATAGATGGCCCGATGTCGTTTATCTAGTACTTTGATTCCAACACAAGGTCGATTTGATCGATCGCTCAAAACTGGATCTGATACATCATCAAATTCGCTCAAGCCCTTTATTGACTCCAATACTGAACTAGTAATCTCCCATGGTTCCTTATCCAAAACAATAAACTGGTAAGTAACCTTCTTATCCAAGTCTTTGCTTATTATATTTGATTCTTTCAGCATCACCGCATTTGTCAATAGAGTTTCTGCTAGTTTCACTTGATTGAACCTTTTCCATTTCTTGACCACTTTTTGACTCAATCGCCTTTGCTCGTCGGTCATTTCGTCGAGATCAAAATCAAGATCAGATCCATCATCTGCCTTACGAGTTTTCGTCTTGAGCTTCTTCACTTTCTTTTGATACTTTTGTTTCTGGACCTCCAAACGCTGCTCCCTAACATGACAAAACAACACAAGTCAAGGTGAGCAAGCAAATCACGTAGCTGATCATGGTGCATTCTAGAAATTTTAAAATGACGCTCGAGATGCCAAGAATGGAATACGCACATCTCCTCTTTCAAGACTTGCATCTGAGTTTCCATGGCGTGTCTTTCTGTTTGTAATCGATCAGAGTCTTGTTCGCTTAAATGTGTACTCGAAAGAGTCTTAATCTTATCCTCGTAGCCAATCCTCTGTTTATCCAACTGTTGCTCCAGATCAGCCTTCATATTTTGCAACTGATGATCAAGTTCAGGTTGATTGTAAGTCACAGTTGAATCTGCAATACTTGTATCATCCGTCACATAAGTGCTTCCAGATTGTGGTCGACAAGATGGTGATCCTCCGGAGTGATCATCATCATCAATCGATTCACTGATGCAAGACATCCGACTCTCTCGTCCACTTACACTCGCACCACTCTTACGTTGCATCCTTAACCGTGCCACATCATCAAACAATCGCTCAACTTCGCTATCGTCCAACTCTTCCAAGTTGACATCCGTCCCATTCAGTCTTGAGATGACTGCTTCTCGGCGTGCATAGTGATAATCTTGTGGGTCAAATACTGAGCTGTTCGATGGTGAGTCAGTCCGAACGAAAGGTGAGCCAGACCCAGGTCGTCCTTCACCTTCGGACGCAATGCCAAGAGGTGATCGCACAAGATCACCTACTATCTGCTCACCACCAGGCGAAAGCCCACTCATTGATTTCACTTTTTCACGATGTTTTCGAACTTCTTCTGGATGATTGAATCGAAAAATATGATAATCACCCAAGATAACTCGGTAGCCAGATTTCAGTTTCTTGGGTACATCAGGACTGAGACGTTGACCATTGACCATGGTTGGAGCATTCTCATGAGCATAGAGTAAGACTTTTCCAGTCTCTCGATCTGACTCGAAGTGACAATGTTGAGAGAGGATATTACGTCCACTGAGTCGAATATCGCAATGTTGATCAGATTCGGTGTTACCGACAATGGTGGTACCCGCTTTGATTTGATAAATTAAACATTCCGACATGAGAGGGTCTTCATTGAGATTAACCAAGTGAGGCATCCTTTTGGGAGTATGAACGCCAACGTTGTTTTTCTCAATGGTGATCCCAAGTTCTTCAAGAGCTGCTTCACGTTCTTTCTGCACCACTTGAGTCTTGACTAATTTCTCTTCCCAAGTTTGAGCCACTTCTGCCATAATCTTTTCACTTTGTTCGAGTTGTTCTTGTAGAACCGCCTTAGTTACAGTCTTGATTTCTCCAGTCTTGGTCTGATAAGTCACGATTTGTTTTTCAGGTGGTAAGGTGACATCGTAGGTATCCTCGCCAATACCACCACCTGAAATGATCCGAGTACGTAAAGTTGTCAATTCCTCTTTGAGCTCCCTAATCAATTTTGCATTCGGATCCTCATTCACTACTGCCTTGTTCTTGATTTTCTTAGCCTGATCTGCATATCTCAAAGTCGATAGGGTTTCATCGTAATCTGCTGGACTGATGGCTGCAATCATAGCTGTTTTCGAGTTTCCACCAAGTGAATCTTTTAATAGCCAAGTCAATACCGAGTCACGATATGGGACATGCTCGTCGGCCTTTTTCTTCTTCCCCAAACCACTTCCACCGCCGGCAGTAGCGAGGGCAGAGATGACCTTTCCAAGAGTAGTGAGAGACTTGTTGATCTGAGCACCTTCCTTCAGTCGAACACCAGTTGCACCTGTACTGTTGGCACGCTCTGAACCAGCAAGATCGACAAGACTGATACGTGAGACTTTTTCACCCGCAAGACCGGTATTGGTATCCGTACGACGCTGGGTGAGAAGAAGAGTGAAAACTGAATGAGATCGTGAAGAAGTTTCGTTCATGTTGGTGGCTGCCACCGTCCTGGCCTTGTTACCCTCGTCCATGAGAGTTTCCACATTGGCATAAGATTGAACAGCAAGCTTGGAAAGATCTTCGACATAAGGACCCAATGAAGGGTGCTCACGGACTCGAAGGTTTCCTTTATTTTTAGGGTTTAAAAGATCACGCACTCGCTCATTATAAATCTAATACAGGAATAAATAAAAAGTATTCGAATTAGTCCTCTTTGTTAATTGATTGAATCCCCTTTGTAAGCTGACCTCCATGAATGAGACCTCAACAGTGTATGTGACGTTGGGTTCGGTTGTCAACTTTTCTTCAATTCGATCGAATAGGGCAGAGCACGTCAAAGGAATAATCCCTCGATCTTGACCATATCCCATCATGGAGTAAGATTTCCCGGAACCGGTTTGACCATCTATATACACACGGTTTGAAAGAGAACACACATCAGATACGACCAATGCTTGTGCTTCTTTTGATCATGGATTGAGTATCAAATCCTAGCCAGAAGCCATCTCATTTGAATTCTTGACTTTGTCAATAGATCGTGCGTCTATTGAGGAAGATCATGATAAGAGATTCAAGGACGCACATGCAAAGATGCAAGAATTATAACCTTCAAAACTGTTATCGAGTAAATCCATCCCCAAGTCCTCATAAAGCGTTTGTTGAGATGCATAACCAGGTTCGTCTTTTGAACAAGCAGACCAATAAGAGTGATCAAATGCGAAGCTCTTCGTTTCACGATCGCCTGCTGGACGTTTCTGTTGCGGGTCTTCGGGCGGAGGGTCAAGAAAAGTGTGAGTGCCACCTTCCATCTTCACCAGACATTTTGCACCACGCGCAAGTTCTCGTGAGTTGAGGGGGCGACATCGTACTACGACCTGTTAAGATTGGTTCATAAATGGAAAAAACAGAGATTAATAAAACGAAGATGAAAGAAAAGGTAAAAGAGATGATATACTTTTATATTGCCAGACATTGAACCAAGATATCAAAGATTGATTAATCGAAATGCGAAGGGAGTAAACAAGGAGAGAGTTATTTAAAAAAGGTATGAGCTTGAGTATGTAGTTCTTGTAGTGAGATTGAAGGTTTGATTGATTGATTGATTGTTAAGATTGAGGTCGAATCGAATGGACACCAAGTGAATGCTAATGGGTTTGATGGAAATGAACGTGTAGAAGGTCGTATGTTGATGTATGCGAAGTTGAAATCTAAAAGGTTGATTGAATGATTTGTGATCGAGGTTGAGTTTGGTTGAAGTTCACTCTGACAACTTGAATTTACAAAAAAGAAACTCAATATGAAAATTAAAAAATTTATTAAAATTAAAACAAGACTCTCTTTCTCAAGACCTCAATCCAAATCAATTCATCATCTTCATTCTCAAAAACAATCAAGCTCAATCAAGCTCAAATGTAGACTTTGAAGTTTGTGAAGATGAGACGATCCTCTTGCAGTCTTGAAACAATTCAAGGCTCACTGAAACACATTCAGTTTCATAAATACATTGATGATCTCAAATATAGGCCAAAGTATAAACCTGTGTCTGACCAAAACACAAAAATTTGCATCAAGTTTGAAACCCATAAAACGGGAGCTCTCCATGAATCTATTATCAGAGAAACTTGCGCATATTCGTTACGGTCACTTCGAGATTATTGAGACTGAATCACAAAACCTTTTCATACCTTGATCAGCTTGAATTGTATAAATAATCAACTCCTCAAACTAACACTATCCATCAAGTCCAACAACAAAGTGGCACCTTCATCATTGAAATAACTGGAGAAAGCGGCGAGGACAATTGCACACCTTGGTCCCACAATTCTACAACTAATACCACCATCACCCCCTCCTAAACCACTTCATATACCAGGTTTTCTGCCCTGCCCCTATCCTGAGATGTATCCGCCTCGCCTTCCCTCCTGGCCAAATTCCACAAACACTGAGCATTGAACAACCAATCCCTATTGGGGATATCCTCCTTATCCATCATGTGTCCCATACCAACCACTGTACCCATATATGCCAAACAGATATGGATCACCATAACCATATCCTGCTCAACCTTCAAACTTGACTCTGTTGAAATCCTCCCCATTGGATTTCAGTACCAGTCCAATCCCCAACATCTCCACTATACCAAAATTGATTAAGTTGGCACCTTCAACAACTTCCGTACAACATTTGACTTCAAATACTTCCACCATTAATTTCATCAAGTTGATACCTTTGAGTTCCAAAAGTGATCCCCCTGAAGCTCCAGTCACTTGTGATTTTTCCAACAATGAAGACAAATCTTTACCCTTACCAACTCAAGTGACTACCAGTGAAGACATTGCAGACATTGTAGACAAATATGATTCTCTGGACCAAGACAAGTGGATTGATCTTAATTCTGCGCAGGATTAGGATTGGTCCCATATGGGTAACCTGGCATCTATTAGGGGATACAAAGTTGAAATCCGGCCGAAAATCCGGCCGCGTGGCCAGATTTCCAGATTCCATTTTTTTCTGGCCACGACTTGAAATTTGGCAAAAAGAGAAATCAACAGATCACTGGCCAGTTCTTCACTCACCTCAATTCCATATCCGACTCAACACCTCAATCTCAAGATTTTTGTTCTCATCCAACACCAGGCACCCAGAAATCCTTCCTTACACTCTGAGTCAAATCGATCTTCATTACATTCTCATTCTCATTCAAATCAACCTTATCCTCCTTTATGGAATTCAACTAATCATCGAGATCGAGTGAAGATTACGGATTTTTTGAATAAAGGACAATTAACTTCAATGGTACAACAGATCGGTAACAGATCATTTTTCTTCTCTTGATTAATACTTTAAAAATCATATTCGATCTGATTTAAATCTAATCTACTCTTTTGGTTTTGGTTTTGTTTTCTCTTTAGCTGCTTCATATCAATTAAAAACACTTGAACCTGCGATTTTAGATGTTTTAACTCAAGCTGCAGAACAAAGACTCTTTCAAACCTGTGGATGAATGAAACTGGCAGACAATAGCAGTTGATCTTAGTCCAAAGACATCCTCGATCTAGAAGTTTTGTTAAAGAGTCACTTTTCGGAACTCTGAATTTTGTATTAGATCCTTTGTATAATCTTTTCACACACGAATCAAATCAAACAAGGATACAGATAAGTTTAAGAATAGTCAGACCAGATGGAATCTTTGTGAGAATTGAAGTCAAGAGTTGGTCTTTTTCATCAATCGAAAGATTTGAGATTGATCTATCATAAGGTTCATGTTGTGATTGATTAAATTGTAAGTTTGGTTGACCGAGAAAGCTGCCTTCTTTCAATTCTTGTCAGTTACAGCAATTTGATGGATTTGTAAGGCTTGAATCATGCGTAAGAAAAATCTATCCCGGCGAGATTGACTTGAAACATTGCAAGTGAGTCTAGGTTGTTCTGAACATACGCCTTTCTTGCATGTCGTGCTGTTTGAATGGACCTCTTGAGGGCTATTTTGCGATGGTATCGAGTTGTTGCTATGTGAAGTGGGGGCGAGTCGTCGATATTGGATGTGGGACTGGTGGTGTAGTGGAAAGTTGGCATGGAACTTGAAGTCGGGGGATTCAAAGTTGAGAGAATCCGGACTCATGTCCAGATTCCGAATTACCGCAAAAAATGGAATCTGGAAATCTGGCCACGCGGCCGGATTTTCGGCCGGATTTCAACTTTGTATCCCCTATATGTTTTGGTTTTTGTCTCTCACCATCTTTAACCTTTTATAAACTTATGAAAATCAACAAAGAATGATTAGTTTTCTTTAAAAAAGTCAAGAGTTTTTGACTGTTTGAGAAAAGTGAGCTTTAAGATGTACCTGTCCAATGTAAAATGATATTCTCATCTAATTGCATTTCTATGTTAACCATTGGATCACTCTGTAAATCAACATACTCCTAAAATCAAATCAAAGTTGAAAAATGAAACAAAAAGGATTTCAAGAAAATCGGTATAAAATAAACAAAGGGATTGTCTGAAATAGATAAAATCAAAATTCTACTTACTTTGGCTACACAACAATTGGCTGAAATTTGAGAAATGTTACTTGAGATGGAATTGGATTTGAAGCTGAGGTTGAAGGTAGTGAAAATCATCCCTTGCTTACAATCAAATGTAAGTTTTGTATGACATGTATCATGGATCAATTTGGGAAAATGTATAGCACTAAGACCATTTTGAAGGCATGAAGACCAAACAATGGTTTCACAGAGCAGTGGGCTTGTTTTTTTTCAATAAGAGAATCCACAGCTGTGTGCCGTAACCCGTGATGTTGTAGTATTTAAAGCTGAACAAGAGCTTTACAACACCTAAGAAGGGATAATCAACTAATGTATGAATAGTATAAGTTACTTAAAGACTGCCTTCTTCAAAGAAACCAGCACAAGGGCACTTGCTGACCACTTTGTGGTAACAGAGAGAAAGATAAAGGTGCCAAAGAAAAGTTCTCAATACCTTTAATAAGTATTATTCAAGTTTTTAAGCGCAAAAGTTCACAAAATAGTAGTAATTACTAGCAATACTGTTTTAAGTATTATTCCCAAATAGACTTATATTGGTCTTGAACACACATAAATCAATTTGTCCTTACTTGAAGGGGCGGATTAAGTGACCTTAGTACAAATATAGTAATCTAATGATGATTAAAAACACTATAACAAAGGTATAAGAAGACAAAAAATGGGAATGAGGAACGTAAAACCACATCCAGTATTATATAACACTCCTTCAATACTCTAAAAATGGTAAACAACTTCAAAAACCTCCAAAAACTGTCAAAAACCAACAAAATCCCTCTGATGTAATCTTATGATGTCATTATTATTGATATTTGGCATGATTAAAGCTGTGAAACTGATCAATTGATGTTAATGAATGATGAACAGATCTTCTTATGACGAGTAAAGGTGATTTTTTTCCTAGTACTCATAGCTGAAAACCATTTTTGGAATTTCCAATTTTTTGTAGAGTTGTCCAATTTTGGATTACCATAGCTCATTTTATAGCCCTCTTGATACTGATCATTTATTGCCCCAATATGACCTGTTTATGATGTGTTATGAAACAGTTATTGAGTTGTAGAGATTGATAAAATAAGGGCCTGTTCGGCTGGTTTAGCCAAAAAGTGTTACACAAAAATGCTTTTTTAATCCGCCCCTTTTTCATGGGGTGGAATGAAAAACTTGAAATTCAGTTTTTCAATTACCAAACACTCAACCGCAGAGCTCATCAAAAAGTTGAAATACAGGGGCAAATAAGGGCAAAAAGTCTTTTTGGTCTCAAGAACAGCCTCAAGGCTGTTTTTCAAAATTGATGAGTTTTTGATCAAAAATGGTTTTTGTTTTTGATTAAACAAAGTAACCAAACGCCGGTGTTTTTGATGAAGATCAAAAACTGTTTTTGGGTTCCAGCTGAACGGGTCCTAAGCTTTTTGACATGTAAATGTTGCTACATGTGTATACGTAAGCGCAAAATCCAAAATTCACACCATCTCTTTTATTTCCTTAGAGCATCTCCAATTGCTGGGTTAAGTCGCCAGATTAGTTAAATATTCAACTAAATATTTGCAAAACCCCCAAGCCATGAATTGTTAGGCAAGGGTTAGTCAAATAATCTTCAAAATCCCTCTAAGCTGGGTGTAATTTGACACAGGCTAACCCTGGCACTAGTTAACTTGACTCACCTCACCACACCCCTTCCTCACCCACCCGACTCTACATACATATACAAATTCAGATTTGATATTGCCAATCCCTTAACTGCCTCTTGCAATCTCACCATACCTCAACTCACATTTTCAAGTACAATCAAACTTACTTCACACATCAACCACCTCCAGCTTTGACTCCCATAC